CAGAGGCAGGACTTTCTGTCATGGATTCCTGTTCAGGAATCTTCCTCTCCTTAGGCAAACAAATGTAGTCATCACAGCAATGGGCATGGCCAGAGAAATCAGTTTGCTTGACATACAGAAAAAAAAGGTCATTAGTACCAAGTAGTTTGAAGTCCTAATGATAGCACAGCAGAACTATCTGTAGCAGTGTTTGCTGCTCTCTTTGCGCTGACACTATGTGTTCATCACAGATAGGAGGATTGTTTTGTAGCAAATTGCAGAGGATGAGGTAGAAGACTGAACAAAAGTCAAAGTTTTTGTTAGCTAGTACTATCAAAATGCCGAGCCTTGCTCATCATGAAGGAGAAGCAAATAACTTCAAAAACAAGATGAGGGAGAAAGTTAACCAGATACAGGAAGGTTTAAGAATTACTGAAGCTGAAGAAAGGGATGTGTGCTCGTGCATTTCAGATCATGAAGGAAGTAAGGGACAATTAACAACATTAGGCAGCCACCAAGCTGTCTGGCAGCACTCGATATTCAGTCCAGAGCATGCCAGTCTTCCCTGACAGTAACCAGAAGTGTTAACCTGGTCTGTCACCAGCCAGGCAGCCAGTTATCAGGCTACAAAAGGTAAGAGCAACCACCATATTTTAAGAAAAATTTCACTTTTTCGGGTTGTTTTGGGCATTGTGTTTTAAATCCCTGCTGCTGCTGCTGACAAAAAACTGCAATGCATATTCTTGCTGTGGTTAAATTACTGATATATTAATTGCTATCTGTTCTGGATGCTGCAGTTGCATTTTTCATGTCTGTTTATTGCCTTTTGTTGATGCCTGATGAAGATAGCGTGGGCAGATCCTACATCTGATGCTTTGTTTTAGTTGCCTGGCTACTGTAAAATGTTATCTTAGCTTTTGCTGAGGTGCCACAGATGCTTTCTTGATGAGTGTCCAAACAAGGAAATATTTATAAGATGCTGAGGAATGCTGCACTTGCCTGGTTCTGTTGCTTTTGCTAGAGATGCTACAGTATGCTTACTTTGCTTTGCTACTACAGACTTTGTACAATAATGTAGAAGGTAGACTGAAACCTTTCATTTACACATTGGGGTCATGGTCAATACCAAACGTAATATTATCTGTATCTTTGTATGCAAAGGAACTGTTGTTGGAAGGAGATGGTGGGCAGCTGCTTCACTTAATTGCAATGCATTCTTTTCTGGTACTTGTTACAAAGAAAACATATTTTTCCTGTTGAGTGTGTTGCCAGATTTTTCCCTTCCTCTCTCCCTGTGAAATTCTCCAACAGAGAGAGATTTAAGTCTCAAAACCTAATTGAGATGTTGACTTCAAACTTCGTCCATGACAAAAACTGAAAGTAACCAATATTTCTTCTGCTCTCTGCATTTTCTGTTATGGCTGCATAACTTTATCTTGTTACATCACAAGCACTTCTGACTAAATTGTTTTCTTGTACTCACAGTCTGAAGCCTCTTCTAAAGCCTCTGAATAAGCTATGTTTCTTTCCAGTCAGTCAAAAAATATTTTGTCAGCAAATAAAAAATTTACATTTAACAGCTGTTTTACTTCCTTCTTTAATATTATTGCAAGCCTTTTCTTAATTATTCTTGCCTTTTGGCAGTTGCAGTGCATTAATATTTACAAGATGAGATACAGTTTTCTGTTTATATTAGCAGTCTTCGGTCTGTGAGATCTGGACCAACCAGAATGCAGGATATCCTTTCTCATCGATTCATCAGGTTCATAATGTAAGATACAGCGATAAATGGCTATGTTGTCACTCTATGGATGTATAGTCTGTTGCCTTGGTGTTATCTACGGGTGTCATGTCTCTGAAATGACAAAAAAAAAGAGTTTGTAACTTGTCTGCCCTCTCTGGCGGTTATGTGTGCGCACATTCGTGTATCGTGCCATGTGGCTAGCATATGTTGGCTGTATGGTGTACATACATACAGGATGTGGGGGCATTGCCAGCAGCAGTCTTGCTTAGGGGGAGCTTTGACTTCTGTTCCTGATGTTTTTGTTCACTCATTTTCCCAAAGCAGGAAACCGTGTAAACTGCGTAGTTTGCACAGTTTCACCCCCACAGTGTGTTGTGCTGCAATTTCTGTGTTAGTCTGTAGACTTTGCCTAGCTGAGGTACACACCGTGTTTGCAGAGGCACTTTTGGGGGAGGTAGAGGTAATGCGATGGTACCCTGAATTTTTGTCACCTCTGTGACAGTCACACATGCTGTGCACGTGAGGGCAAACCTGGTGATCTGTATTGCAGCGTGGTAAGGATGACAGCCAGTTGTTCAGAGAAGTATTTCAGAGGAGCTCTAGATTTCTCCTAATTTTTATCACACCTCCTTGGAGCATTTCTGCCAGAGAGGGGCTGTTTTGGCTAGCAAGCTTTAGAAGCTTTTAAAATCTTAAGTACACCATGAACCTGTTTCCATTATTTCAAAAGCCAAAGATACAAGGAGCTAAAAATATTTCTCCTGCTCTAGGAATTAAAGCATAAGAAAATAGTGAGGATTTGAAAATTTTTACAGGAGGGAGAAAATTCTTAATTTTTCATCCAGAACTGTTGTATCTATGTGTGCTCCAATTTGTTGTTGTCATGGTGACTAATGCACATTACCATAACCAGGCATGAGGCTTAACAGGTGAAAAGTTATAAGATACAGTCCTTGTTAAAAATAACTACATTCAAACCACTCAAAGCCAGGCCTTTTTGGTTTTTTCTTCCTTGTAGCATGGAGGGTTTTTAACTTGACATTTTTATAAAAAGATGAGAGAGGTGTTAGAATTATACAGAAGTTGTATCGAAGTTACTTCTTAACTGTGACTACCTCTGCATTCAGGTGCCTACAATATGAGTCAAATACACTTCTCAGAGAATAGGATGTGAGAGGAAAATGTGCAACAATTGTAAAAAAAAATACCTAATAGCTGTAATCTGCTTCTGTACCTCATTTGACATCAAGTGTCTGACCCTTTTCAGAGCACTGAGAAGTGCTCATCTGCCCATTTTCAGGGTTAGAAAGCTCTGCAGGGGCACAAGATACTGGTCTTTAAGACTATTAAAAGTTGTCACTGTAAAAGTATTGAATCCCTACCACTCTGGCACCTGGCTTGAAACCACTTTCTGATATTAAATTATTTATCTGCAAAATGTGGAGCTAAATATCTTCTTTTTCAAGGTGTCAGAGGCCAGAAAGAGGAAAGGCACTGGTTAAAGGCATGAGGAGGTTAGAATACTAAAACACAGGTAATACGGCAAAAAGCATGTGATAAATTGCACAGCTGTCTGATGAGCTGTAAAGTTAGATGAGGAATAAATTATCTTTCGCCTTTCTACTTCATCAGAGAGATAAAAATCTCCATCCATATATTGTGTCATAAAAAATGCATAAGCTTAAATGTTTGATTATTTCTTATAATTGCAAATTAAATATTCAAACCAGAAAATCCTTATCCTATCATATCTATTTTTAAAACTTAAATCAAACATTATAGTTGGTCTTGCACAACAATTTATGAACATTTCTATACTGCCTGAAAGCATTTTAGGTGCTTATGAAGGACCTGAATTTCGGTTCATCACCCATGAATTGCTCCACATTAATTCCTTGGCTTTGAGACTAGTAGTAATTCATGTTTTTCTACCCTGGACTTGAGCCTTTTTATTTCAAGTCTTCACCAGGTCAAAGGTGTTCCTGCTTTGTATTTTGCATGAAATTAATGGCCATAATCACATCCTAAATATTAGAATTTCAGTATCTGACTAGAGTGAGTCAGCTGAGGAGCTCCTTTTCTTCCTGTTGAGGTTTTCTAGACCCAGATTTATGAATATATTTAGCTGTCTAAATCTTATTTAAAAGTTGTTTTCTTTTTCCCTGAAAAAAATTTTAAAAAGGAAAGGAAATTGCATGGAGAATGTGTAATAGGAATTACACTTCCAAATATCTTCATGGATCTGGGCTTTGGAGACTACCCTGTTATAACTCAGTCCAAATAGGTTATGAATATTAACACTACTACTGTTTAAAAATCTAAGGAGCTTGGTAAGAAACAAAAGGAAACCACAAGTCACTTCTGCTGAAAGTTAAAAAACACTTACGATATAGCTATAAAAGAAACTTTTGACTATGTCTTCTTCATAGGCTATCATGTCTTCTTCATCCATCATAATAATCTATGCCTATGATGTTTAATTTCGTGCTACTTTTCTTAGTAGCTGCTCCCTCAACAAGACACACTGAAATACATGAAAGGTCTCCAGCTGCAGTGGTCTGTCAGGAGCAGCATAAATCCTGTATTTCTGCATTCCCCTAACCTCAGCTCCATTTCATGTTTAGACCATCCTAAAACATGTATAGCAATCTTGGCGATTCTGTTTTGTCTAACTTATAAGGAATAGGTACTAAGATGTTTATACATATTTACAGAGCAATTAATGGATACAAACAAATGGTCTCCACACAGTCCCTCTGTGTCTCATACACTAGTTTTATTAGCCTGGTTGAAGATGATTTCTCATGATTATTTTTTTCCTTTATAAAATTGAACCAAAACAAGAGGTAGTCACTGTTCTTCTTTTTCAGTCCTTTATTTACAGACAGAAGCAATGTTGTCCATGCTTTTCATACTGTCTGTGCAAAAGGAAGACAAACTGTAAAATTATGTACTCATTTTACTCCTTATGTACCCTGCTTCATTTGTCAGTACTGTCCCTTTTTTGCCTGTGAGGAAAGCCACCTGCTGAGCAGTGCAGCAGAAGGGTTTGGAGCACTACCCATGGTCAGTAGTTCGGTAGAAGCTCTGGTCCTGCCTCAGGGCCATCCCCATGCTTCTTTGGTGGAAAGACCAGTGGTCAAAAGATGTAGTTTTGTAGCTTTTCTGTCCTGAATTTACTCCTATTCCATCATAGTAACCTTTTGCTCAATGGATAGCATACAGCTCCCGAGGTCTGCTTCCTTACACAGAACATGCAGGAGTGTATCTTTAGTACAGAAAAAAAAAAAAGGACTATTTCAAATGGTCTGTTAGCTGTGGCCTTGAACAGTTCATAAGAGACAGGTGAACACACTGTGAGAATTTGTGATGAGTGCAATCCATCTTCTCTTGTTGTCAAAGACAGACTCCACTAATAAGGACGCAGATCCTTGCCCCTTGTAATATGTTGGAAACCTTATTTTACAAGGAGAACTGCTTCTTAAAGAAATCAAATTCCCGCTTCATATTAAATGTGATAGAAGGTCTTTAGTGGCCAGAAGGATTCATTTCTGTGGATACAACATGCCAAAAATTGGAGCAATTTCTCCTGCTGCTTTCCTTTCAAAATCTGAGTCTGAAGTCATACCCATGGCATATAGGAAACTTAACTAGGCAAAACAGAAATTACACTACTGTGTAGTTGGTAGATGTGCAAATGGTGCCAACAGAATCTAGCTTTGACTTGTTTTATGATGTTCACTTGCTTGAAGTTACCATGTTGGCAGGATAATGTTGCTGTTTCCAGATTTATCTCTGGTTTTTATTGCAGACTTGTGCAAATGCGTGTCATTTTGTTTTCCTGTGGCACATGAAAATGATGTACTTGTTTTGTTTACTCTGTCATGATTTAATTAGTACGATGTGATAGTTTGCCAGGCTTTGAATGTCTTCAATAAGAATTTTTTTGTGTGTTTTTGATGCTTAAATTCTTTTTGTTATAAAAGTCTAAACTTCTAGCCATATTCTGTGTGAAATACTGATGACAATTCCTTGCCAGCTTCAACACATATTTTAACAATATGACATACATGGAAAATACACAGAGATAAGTGCAGGTAAACAAAGAAGTAATATAATACATATTGAAATAATCATATAGAAAAGAGTAAAATAGTTTGAGAGAGAAAAAGCAAGGTAAGAAGGAGGATCAGGAAGGAGAAATGTGGTTGCAAAAAGACAGTGGGAAGAAGAGGGGAATTCAGAGGGAGTCCAGACAGGATAGGAGACAAGTGGGGCTGGTGGCAGACGGAAGGTGCTTGGGAAGAGGAGAAGGAGCCCATCCACAGGTCATTTTCAGTTAAGTGAGCTGATGCTGGTTTGGTAGCATCCCTGGTGTTGAAGATGTGGGCTCATGTGAACCAAAAAAAAGAGAGGTCACAGTTACAAAATTATTTATCTCAGAATAATAATTTTTTTTCATAGGCCTGCAAGGTAGAAGGAGCCCCTAAGGGCTCAGAAGTCAGTCCAGGTCCAATAAAGCCATGACCAAAAATACACACTGGCAGGTGAGACCCACACCAGCACTGCCAGGCTGGAGACATTCCTGTACCAATGCCCTGGCTCTGTTGGGAGGGAGAAGAGTGCTGTGAAGGGATACGGCAGCAAACTGCAGTCCTACCCATGTTCTCTGAGGGCTTTGAGGAAAGAGGGGAGATGACAGCTCAGGAAGGCAATTTCCTATATCAATGAGAATGATGAATGTGGAAGGGCAATGTTAATACTTCTACAATGAGGCATCAAGAGAAGGTGATCAAAGTAAATATTCGTCAAGAGATTAAAGAATGCCTCATATGTTCGAAGAATATATAATAAGTCTGCAGATCAAAGTAAAGTCTTAGTTATTTAGCCATTTAGGAAAGTTAGTTATTGGTTGTGTGTGCCGGATAATGGAAGCCTTATTAACTGTGCAGAAAAGCTTGTAAAGCACATAGGAGAATTTTCAAAAGGCATTTTTGTGCATCTCCTGATTTTTTCAAGTGCTCTCATCCTCATATATATATTGTAAACGCTTATTTATAAGGAACATTTCCGGTGCCTAATGATTTTATTCTCAAAGCAAATAGATTTAATTAAAACCTCATTAAACACTACAGTAGATGACTTTGGATTATAAATTAAATCATGAAAAATGTTGTAGGAGTTTGTATTCCCTCATTTTAGTAACAACTAAATTCTTGTTAACTGAGCAGAACAGTGGAGGGCTACTTTATAGAGAATTTGCCTGCACATTCTCTTATATGTTGAACAACTGTGATTTTCAGACAGGAGACTGGGGAGAGCCTTCAATTACCTTGCGACCTCCAAACGAAGCCACAGCATCAACGCCTGTACAGTACTGGCAACATCATCCAGAGAAACTCATCTTCCAGTCATGCGATTATAAAGCATTTGTAAGTGTTGATAAATTTCGTGGTTTGATTTGGGGTAGATAGATTAATCTTAGATTTTGATAGGCTGTCGTGTTTTAGTCTCATTTATATTATTTTTTCAGTCACTTTTAGTGAGACAGGGCCACTTCTTCTGAAATACTGTAATTGTAATAAATGAGAAACAAGGATGCACAGTACATTTTTGTATGAATTTTGTGATATATTGCAGTCCATGTTGCAATAGTGTTAGAGAAAGGACACCATGAATAAGTGGCTAAGTGTTGTAGAAGTGACAGTGAGAGCAAACACCCCTACTTCTCATCTGTCACAATTCCCTGTCTAGTAGTTAGGGAAGAATAATAAAGCATAATGTGGATCCTCATACCTTAATGCTGTGTGCACAGTAGTTAGTGTTGCCTTGCTGAATTTTATACATCTGCAGTACAGAAAGTCATTGAAAGGTGTTTTTTTTAAAATGAAAAACACTTTTCTGAAATCTTGAATTTGCTGTCAGCAAGGTGGGGGACTGGAACTTCTGGGGAGCTGAAGAGATGCCTTAGCCCACCTATTGAAATGCTTACATTTCCACTTCCAACTTTGCAGGAAAGCACTGTTAAAGTTGTTAAAGGTGCTTGCCCAGACCACTGTGTGTCCTCTTTGGAGGTGGCCACCTAATGAAATAAGTTTCCTTACTGTACAAAGGAAAGGGTCTCAGTAGTTGCAGTGCCCTTATGATAATAGCTGGGGGTTAACCACTAGTGCTGTACATGGGGTTTAGATCCTCGTCTCTTGAAGCAGCTCGGATCTTTAGTGTTTTTTAGGATAATGCTCTATCCATCAAATACTGCAGCATTTTTGGGAAGAGTTGAAGGCTGCTGGACCTGATTTAAAGCATGTCTGGAAAGATAGGAATTAGAAACTAAATGCGGGTGAGACAGAGCCTGAATCCCACTGAGGGAGGCAGAGGGGCTGTTACAGGCCTGTCTCGCTGGATGGAAGGTACATGTCTCTGTCTTCCATCACACCTTTGTGCAGTAGAAATTGCCATGAATGCAGCGATTGCTAGAACCTCTGCCTTCCTCAGCAAATCATGGTCAAGGACCAGCTTACCTGGTCTCAGTCTTGTTCTCCTACTATTCAAAAGTTACTTGTTCATCTCAAATTGGAAAGGAAGCTTAGCAACTTCTAGTTCTTCAAATATTTTTCATCGTTTTTCAGTAAGGTGAGCATGTTTATCTCAAGAATGCCTTTTATCTTACTGCATGATCCAGCAGTAAATTCATAATCAGACCTTTGTAGTAGATTGGAAGGCATGTAGATCATTAAAAATGAAGTTGGGATGACCAGGAATATAAGTTACTAGTGATTAAGAAAACACCTTCCTTTCCAAGGACCATGTGTCACTGCTTTGTTTCAGCTCCCTGAGCTGTGTTGACCTCAGCTTTACGGAGTAAAACACTGGCTTGTAAGTTATAATGGGGGCAGCTTTCACTGTATGCTGCATCACTCAGTTGAACTGTTGGATGTTCTCTGCATTGTTCCCACATGCTCTGGGTGTTGAGAAGGAGCATTTCCAAAAGCACAGCAAGTCAAAGGAAAGCAAAATTCCCTCCTAGAGTTTCAGATTTTTCTGACAACTAAATTGGATGGTACCTCTGTGATTTGTTTGTCTATTCCACAGTCTACCCTGGGAAGCATTTCTGAGTATCTTCAGCTGAGGCTTTTTGCTGCTGTGCAGATGGGACAGGAGCTGCCTGTCTCTTTCTTCCTCTTGTTCTGCTGTTAGCTCAAAGCACAGCTTTTTTCCCTCCATGCCCGACCAACTGGTAGCTTTCAAGGAAATGCCAATTTATTGTGCTGTAGTCTATAAAAAATGAGAATTTTTTTTTTTTAAAATTAAAGACATTAATTGTAACCTGCCCAGAGAAGGCTAAGGATGCTAAAGGTGTCAGACAGCAGGATCCAGAGAAAAATACAGTGCAATTCTGTATGCTTTTGTTTGATTTTTTAATTTCTGAGCTTGCTTTAAATTTGTTGGTTTTCTGCAAGGACGATATCAAGCTGTCCCAGCAAATTAATGCCCAAAGCCCTATTCACGTCACCATTGAGCCCCCAGCTGGACTCACAGCTGCTTGGTTTATGAATCTTTCACATCTGCAGTCCTCTAGGAATGCCCTTCATTCATTCCTTTCTGCTTGTGCTTATCTGGTAGTGTTGGTGTTGCTCAGTGTTCCATTTAAAATGCCCTGCAAAGTGTTTCTCACTAATTGCCATGTTGGCTACTGTCTACATTGAAATATTTATGCATTTTCTTGCAGGTCAGAGACTCCAATAGTACACAGTGTGAACTGAAGGCTTTAAAGAAAATATCCCAGTTTAGGTCAGGAGACCAGAGAATTGAACCAATACATTCTCTGTTCAGCTCCAGCTTGCATTGGACTGTAGCTGAAGCTCTTTTTGATAGATTCTTGTCTAAGCTGAAGCTGGTTCACCATCTGGATGGATCAGCTTAGGCTGTCTCCAAGGGGTGTCAGCATGGTAGAATGAAAAGGGTCAGGCAGTTGTGCTGGGCTGCACCTCTGGGAAGGTTCCTGCCCACAGCAATTTGTCTCCTCCTGCAGCCTACCTACCCTGCAGTGACACAACTTCTCTTCACTTCCCGTGTTGCTTGCATAGGACTGGAGACTTAGGAGAAGCTGTGGCATTGTTCTGCAGTGAGAATACAGAGAACAACGTCTCTGTGCCTAGGGAGGAGCAGGCCAGGGGTGGTTTGCTGTCCCCTCCCCCCAGTACAGCCAGACCTGCCTGTGAGATCACATAGAAATACAGAAACATCCCATTTACATAGAGCTCGGTGAGAATGGCAGGGATGGTGCAGCCAGCTCCATCTCTGGAGGAGCAGCACCATGGCATAGAGGGGCACCAAGACCCTGGAGGAACAAGTCCAGAGGAGCTGAGCCTGCTGTCAGGGTGCAGGAGGGTTCAACTGCATGTGCTGGCAGTGAGGGAAAGGCCCATAGGAAAGGGGACGTGTTGATGAGGCACTCACTGCCTTGTGTACCCTCGGAGAGGAGCGGCAGATCTGAGGGCATGGTGGCTTTCAACCAGCTGAGCCAGGACACAGCACCCTGCTGCTTCCTCTCACCCAGCCCTCCTCCAGACCAGTAAAGGCTTCAGAATAGTAGTTCAGGGTCAGCGTTTTCTTAGGAGGAAATAATGGTTTAAGCTAGTTTTAGTACAGATTTATTTTCTCTGTTTGCTGACATCGGACTCTGCTATTTGCATGTAAATTAATTACAGATCGAGTACACTGAGATTAAGATTGCTGCTGGCCTTCGTGTCCACATGATTGCACACATAACAATAGGACTTTGGCAGATGGCAGCTAAAAAAAGCAGATTCTCCATTTTTTAATGACATGGCTTTTTTAAGATGGAATCTGTAGTATTTCCTCTTCGAAACAATACCTGAAAGTCTTCTAGCTTATCCCTTTAGTCACTCAAAGGCCTCCAGCTGATTCAATACACTTGTTGCTGTGCACTCTTGTTTCATAGGTTTATTAATGCACCATTTTAAATGATTTATCAAAGAACTGCAGAGTAAAAAAAAAATCTAAAGCAATACATTAAGAAGTCAACTGCTACCGCTAAGGTTTTCTAAGCATTTTTAGTGCATTTCTGCAGATGTTTGTCTGTTCTGGAATTTAAGTTAAATTAAGTTCAATGGATTTTTGTTTTAGTATTTAGGTTCTATGCTGGTAAAAGAGTTAAGAGGCACAGAGTCAACACAGGATGCGTGTGCAAAGATGAGGGTAAGTTAGTAAACCTACTCCTTTCTCTATCATAATAGTATTAAATAATGTCAATCTGACTGCTTGTAATGTGCCCTTTTTGCTTTTATAACGTACTGTTACCCATTTGTTTTCCTTGCATTTACACTGGTATTCAATAGGAAATCTGCTCTGCCTTATGTCTTAATTTCAAGTAATGCCAAAATTTAAAGGTATATTTTTATTTTGCATGTTGTATCTAAGAAGAAAACTGAAATGTATGCGTTACGTTTTCTCATGAATGTTTCAGTATGTTTCAAAGTACTGTCCACACACTTTAAACATGCCCATATCAAATAGCTTTTATAAACAGAGTTTATAGCTTTTATATGATAATCTCGATTGAATTTACTGTGTGAAAATATGTGCTAGTAAATATATTAACATGTTACTAAAGCCATTGGCATGGTCTAATTCAACAGCCACGTAATCCTATGAATGCGTTTACTTGCATGAATACTTCCATTAATTATGAGTTACTTACATGTTTTTTGATTGAAGGAGGAAATGGGATCTAATTCATTTTCACCTGACGGTGGAAAAGTAGTTAGGTTTCCTTCAGACTGTTCAGGATATGTTTTCCTGTGTCTCTTTGGCCTGACACTGGTTTGCAGAAAATTGCAACATGGCTCAGTCAATCTCCAGGAGATATACTGCTGCTGGGAACTCAAAACAAGCCACAGCCTAAATTATTCCCAACTGTAGTTGTAATAAGAGTGCACCTGTTCATAGCCATGGTGAACATATCATGGTCTGGCATGATTAATTAATGAAGAATATAATTGTTTTCTAATCTACCAAACGTGTACAATTACACAGATGAATGAGCAAAATCTTTTCTTCTGTGTATCATAAGTCTTTTATGCAAGATGCCTCTGAGCACAAGATGTGTCATTCGGATCAGTTAGAAAGCTGGAAGATGTGTAAAATTCATGCAATCAGACAACCATTTCCTACTGGTTACGTATCTGCAGCACACAGACTTTTGTACAAGCTGTTTTAGCTAAGGGCTGGCGTTAATTCATGCTTACTAGATTGCCTGAAGATCTGAGGCTTTTCAGCTAATTACATGCTAATCATGCCTTACCTGGGCTTAAACTCCTCGATAAAAAAAACCTAACAACTTGACACAGAGGGATCTACAGTCACATACACGTGTTCTGGGGAATTAATTGAGGCTGCAAGCATACCATCTTCCAATCCAGTTTTCAAACTGTCAGGCTTAGCAGTTCAATTTTTTAGGCATATTCCTGTGCAGATCTTAGGGCAGAATTTGACACCATAGTAGCGTATGACAACTTCAGTAAGTTTTCTGACTGAACTAGGAAGCTTAACATCAAAAAAGTCACTCTAAATAATTTATAGGCATTTTAAGATATATATTTTGTAAGTAATAAGTTTGGCCAGTTTTAATTATACAACTGAAAAAAACTGAGTGAAAACAAATTTAATGTAAAATACAATTTTTCTATAAAAATAGTGGAGTTGCACTAGTAGTCTATAGTGCCATAGAGGACACTTAAATAATACAGTGATGGAGTTTGCATACATTTATTCTTTACATTGTCTTTTCAAACCATTGTGCTGTGTATTTTCTGGTTTGTGTGTTTTTATTGCAAAGATATTTCAAGAAAACGGTTTTTAATCAGGATTTCATCTATTCTTTCTATGTAATCCTTTTAATCATGTTCCTATTCAAGTCAAAAGCAAAAACTTTGACTTAATGGGAACAGATTGCTATTTTTGCATAAATTTCCCAGGGAGAAAAATGTATCTTTTTCCAAAACTTCCTACCTCTGGTTGTGTTCTGAAAGTTGGCATCTGTGAATTGGGAGTCCAGGTTGTCCAAAGTCATCCGGAAGTTTTGCTGTGATGTTCATTACACCATACCACTGGATTGTCATTGAAAATGTGACTTCCTTTATACTTACATTTGGCTTTAAATGAATTGAAAGGGACACTTCACTTACAGGAAAAAGAAGTGAAAAGCTACATACATTATTTGTCTGGTTCTCAGGTACTGAATTCTGTACACTTGTCCAATGCCTCTAGAGTCAGTAAGATTTTTACATAGGATTGTGCTATCATGATAGAGCAGTGTTTTTTAATTCTAGTATTTTATTTGTTTTTTCATTTACATATTTCAAATCTATGCCATGCTGCACTCGGAAGCATGTTGGGGCGGGGGAGTACATCACATATAACCTTGTACCATGTTAAGGTCACACCCTGCATTTCTTTAATCTTTCTGGACTCAGCCACATAATGGCTTTATGGAGAATGCATGAAAATTAGGTACCAAATTTTTCTATTAATGTGGCTTTAGATTCTCCATCTTTAACTTAATGCTGTCAAAAAAGTTTTGATATTCACTGGACGTCTTCCAGTCAGCAGGTGCACAAGGATGAAAGAAGTGTATCAGTGAAAAAAGATATCTTGATCTTCCTTAATCGTTCATAAATACAGAGAAACAACAAAAATTACTTGTTTGCTGACTGCAGATTCCTTATTGTTAGTCGTAGATGCTCCCAGGGCTTTCGGTTATTGCAAGTGATGGTTTTGGTTCCCAGGGGAAGTGCCATGTGGATATCCCTTGTGTCTCTCTGCAGAGAGGCTTACAGCAGCCTCTTTCTCTCATAGCAGACCTGGGAACCTTTGTCATAATAACTCTTCTTGACAATCCACTGTGCTTCTCAGCATTGTGCAGCACTGTGCTCCAGCAGGGCACATGATGGATTTGTTCAGGGAAAATCAGGCAGATGTAATAGCTTGAGCTCAGCACTGGGATCAAGGTTATACATGCTTTTTTTTCCCCACCCAAATTGCTGATTCTTGCAGTCATTCAAAATATGAATATTTGGCAAGAACTGTGCCTGTTAGAGGGACTATACTTTATTTTTCCATTCATGTATTTGCACTCCAAGGGTGACTGTATATTTTATGGTTTCTTATTTGTTTCCAGCTATTTTCTCTCACA